AAAGAAAAAGATCCAGAGGTGGAGGTTGCTGTTGCAACTAAATTTGCTGCATTACCATGGAGGCTTGGCCGTCAAAGTGTCCTAGCGGCCCTAAAAGATTCTCTTGCACGTATGGAACTTTCTTCAGTTGATCTTTATCAACTTCACTGGTACGCTTCTCGAGCGCGCTTCTTCGGATAGTTTTCTTAAGCAAACAGTCAATAGCTGATAAAAGCTTTTATGGTCTAATTCTCAGGCCAGGAATATGGGGAAATGAAGGTTTGTCATGTCTGATGCCCTTGTTCAATTCAACTAATAAGATGCTCTTTTTAAAAAAGATTTAGTTTATAATTCACATTTAACATAGACAAAGCTTAGTCAATCAGAAAATCCTTTTTCCAGGTTATATTGACGGTTTAGGAGATGCAGTGGAGCAGGGCCTTGTAAAAGCTGTGGGAGTATCTAACTATAGTGGTACACTCGTGATTCGTTCTAGTCAATCAAATATTTGGACAGTCCTTTTGATGACTAATCTTACTTTCTCCCGCCCGATAATATTTCAGATTGTTCTCTTATTAAGGGTGTTATGAGAATATGACTGTCAAATTAACCAAGCATTGTCCTCTTTTTCCAAAATAAAAATATATATAAAAATTGCCTGCTACATACAATATTTGGCCAATGGAAGTATTTCTTGTTTCAGAAAAGCGTCTTCGCGATGCATATGAGCAGCTGAAGAGGAGAGGTATTCCACTAGCTTCAAATCAAGTCAATTATAGTCTGATATACAGGTTGCCAGAGCAAAACGGTGTCAAGGCCGCCTGTGATGAATTGGGAGTCACGTTGATTGCATATTCACCCATTGCTCAAGGTAAAACCTGATACAACTGTTTTCTTGTGAAGATGTGTTCTAGAATGACCCGATTTATGGCCTCGTTGAACCAGGCATGAAATAAATAGTTAATGAGGTTTTATGCTGTTATTGAACATAAATTTGGAAGCTGGTTTCCTACACTTTTGTCACCCCTGTGTATTAATGATTTATGTCATCACACATGTAAATAATGTTTACTGAAAATGTATATAGACTTGCTGAAAATTCCTCCCTGTAGCAGCCGTCTACTGTCCCAGTTATTTTTGCACCAAAGTTTAACCAACAATACATAGTTAATATTCTTTCCAATTAATCATGCATCACAGTAAAAAAACTGCTAATGTAGCCTAGGTAAAAGGGTTACGGAATACAACCAGTTGGTTTCAGATTTCTATATCAATTTTGAACGGAGGAAATGACGGGAACTACACCCCTTCCACTCTCCAGCCATCTTATTGGCATAGGAAGTCTGTTAAAACTCTTATGTCAGACCTGCCTTTTCGATTAAATGCAAGTATTTTGCAATGCTCTTTTCATGTACTAGTATGCTATGCAATTTGCTTCAAATAACTTAATGTTGTGCCCTGATAATGATATGTTTCAGCATCTTAATTGTTTTCTGTTTCAAGTTAAAAGTGAGAAAATTCATGTCAACTTTTCTTTGGATTATGCGGCCCAAACTCATTACATTTCCCAACTTATGCAGGAGCTTTGACTGGAAAATATACTCCAGAAAATCCTCCCACTGGCCCTCGCGGACAGATCTATACTCCTGAATTTCTTACCAAAGTAAGGGCTTTTACTATATGACTAGAGATTATTAAGAATTTCACTTCTTATGGCTCAAGAACTTTTGCTCACTTGCAGTTGCAGCCACTCATAAATAGAATAAAGGAGATTGGAGAAAGCTACAATAAGACTTCAACGCAGGTATATCTTCCTTGTTTCTCGAAAATCTCATGATTTCACTAGCTTAATTCTTCAGGTGTAGCTTTGTTTGGAATGCTGTAACAGCAATCATAGTAGAAGCTGTAAGTTACTTTGGTTATATCACCTCCATCCCAAATAAGTCATCTTTTAGCATATGTGAGAGTGCAACATGTGATGTGTGGATTAGGTGCATGTGATCTTGAGCTAGTTTGGATCGACGAGAAGGGTAGAAATGGATGCACCTATTAGAAAAAAGGGTATAGATGGACCCATTATTCACTGAATTTTGAATCATGTGTCAACTAGACCTCATCGATTTCTCGTTCATCAAGAAAAAAAAAAGCCATCAAGCTTAGTATTTGTCCCCAACATGCTTCATTTTCAACCCATTCCATACATCCCCAACACTCATACCCTCACCTATGTTAGTATTTGTCTAAATTATATACAAATGCTTTTATAATAATTTATTTTGCTTACATACCAACAACAACATACCCAGTGAAGTCCCACAAGTGAGGTTTGGGGAGAGTAGAATGTACGCAGACCTTACCCTTACCTTGTGGAGATAGGTAGACTGTTTCCAAAAACCCTCAGCTCAAAATGCAGCAATTCCAGATACAAAGAAGAAAATATAACAAGTCAAAAGAAAACAGAAAGAATTTGCTAACGTACCGAACACAAAAATAAATAAATAAATAAATAATACTTATTTTATGGAAAAATACCAAACACACCCCAAATAGTAATGATTTCCAATGAATGGAAGATATTATTTTGCAGTGATTATATATGTTGTTTTGTTTGACAGGTGGTCCTGAATTGGTTGATTGCACAGGAGAATGTTGTTCCCATCCCAGGAGCCAAAAATGCAGAGCAAGCTAAAGAATTTGGTGGTGCATTGGGTTGGAGACTAACCCAACAAGAAATAGACCAACTTCGTTCTTTGGCATCAGAATTAAAACCTGTTACAGGTTTCCCTGTCGAAAAGTTTTAAACATCATTTTTACATGTACATTATTCCCTTCTTTTTTTACAGTGTAAGTAGTGCTGACTTCTGAGTCCTTGTTCTATTGTGTGGGGAAAAAAAGTGGTACTAATAAAGCTGCTGCAACCAACATCATACGTACTCCATGCAATTTCATAAGTGGGGTTTGGAGAAGGTGATGTATATGCCGTCTTAATCTTATATCTATCTTGAAAAGGTTGAGAAGAAATTGTTTCTGATAAACCCTTGGCTCAAGTAAAATATGATAAATAGTATTAAGTATGTAAAGCAAATATGATAACAAAGAAGAAAATCGTAGCAACAACAAATAATATAATATGATATGTAACTGAAGTCAAGGAGACAACGTGTAATACGAAAACCAAAGAATAAAATAGAATGAGAGTAATAATAATAATAATAATATTGATAAGGAAGCTAGATTATACTCGACTACTTACTAACTTTTATATTTTTCTATCTAAGATCATTTCCTCGATAAGTTGTACGTATATCATGTTTGTCTAATCACCCCTCATTATTTTATTCGACTTACTTCTACCTCTTCCGGTACCCACCACAGTCAGGAGGAGATCAAAAATAATTATCCCATTATCTTGAATTTCACTTGTCTTCTATTCCTTCTGTCCCAATTTATGTGGCATCATTGGAGTTTCAACAGTCAATCAAGTTTTTCTTCAATTAATTTGTTCATATATATCTTTTGAATATTTTAAATTGTTTATTATTGTAATGTATTATACTTTTTGCATAGTTTTCAAATGTATAAATATTACTTCTTCCGTCCCTTTTATATGTCATCCCTTTCTATAAATAGTTGGACCACAGTACTTGTCATTTTATATAATTTATGCATAAATTATCATATTTTGCATATTATACCCTTGATAGAGTAGTTAATTAATCTTGAAAATGTATTCATCATTTATTATAAAGTTGACTTAAGATTAACATTAAATAAGGGTAGAAGGGTAAAGTTACATCATTTTTTAATGTAAGTGCAAAGTAAAAGGTGACATATAAAATGGGACGGAGGGAGTATTTCAAAAAGCTTAATATTAGTTGTGGTTTCAAGTCAATGGGCAAAATCTAATTAGTCGTGTTAAAGGTAAATACTAGTATATATGACTGTTATTTTTACTCCTATAAACTTTCCAAAAACATTTTATAACACCTAAAATTGACATATTTTTATAAAATAATGTAGTAACAGTGAGGAATTTTAATAACTCGTAATTTGAACTTTTACCTTATTAGCGAGAGTTCAATTTTCGGCTTTGTAATTTCCTACCCTATTTCTCCCATCCCAAACTTATAAAACGTGGAATTAATTAACAGGCGATTAAGACTAAAACACCTATCATTGATTATTACAAACACAAAATAATTCACTACTTCAATCATAATATATTAATTGACTTAGTTACAAATATTAAAAAAAACATACTAATTGAATCATAATATATTAATTGACTTGGTTACCAATTAAAAAAATACCAGTTCAATCATAATAGAATAATTGACCTCAATCTTCTTGTCTCCTTAATCAACATCATTAGTGTTCCTTGAACACAATAATTAAAAATTATGTACTACAAGTGAAATATACATAAATAATGATTTAAAATAATAGTAAAAATGAGGATAAGTGCAAACGTGGCTAAAGAATTTAGCAGTATTTGATCCACAAGGTGGAAAGGGTCCATAGGAATAGAAAAAAGGAAGATTTCATACAGCTAGGCTGGATGTAGCATTTATATATCGAATTCATTTGAATTCAGTATTTTTAATATAAAATATAAATTTATATATAAAAATTCATCAAAACTATACTTTTTTTTTTCCTAATTCGCTTGATTCGTTTTCCTTTTTAATCCGAAAGAATGACATTTTTTCATATGTAGTATTTTTTCTGTTTTAATTTGTTGTTCACTCAATTTAAAACGAAGGAGTAACAATCTTAATAAAATGATTTGTAGCCACATAAACATTTCTGACTTCTTTCATATCATAAATTTCAAAACTCCACCATATGGATTGAGACGAGAAAATTACAAACAGTAAGTTCATAAAATTTAAATCTTGGATCGGCGTTGCCTATACGGGGATCCTATTATTGACAGCTAAAGCCACTGGTATTTGTTGTATCCAAAAATAATTCAGACGTCATTTTCTCTTCCATTAATACTATTACTATTAGTGTCCAATTCCAAAAATGATGCTCGCATTTGCTGTCTGTTTCCTTCTTATTATTCTTGAACAAGTGAAACAAAGACCACATAGTTTTTTTCCCTGACTTGGTTTGTTTTCCCATTATAAAATTTTGGTGTTTCTTCCATTTCTGAACCTAAAAGGTTTGATTTTTTTTGCTTCATTTCTTTTCTTAGTCATGTTATGTTAGTTTTAGAAATGGGGTTTAAAAAAGATTGATTTTTTAAGCCATTCTAATTGACTTGTTCTGTTTATGTTGTGCGCAGGTTTTTGGTTATTTAACTTCTCTGTTTCCTTCTTTCTGTAAGGTATATAAGGCAAAATCTTTCTTTCCATTCTTTCTGTTTATGAGGATTTTCTTGTTTGGGGGGTGAGGTGGGGTGGGGGATGGACAAGTAAGGAAAAGTAGAGGAACTGTTGAAGTTTCAAGTGTTATGTCATGCTTGTCTATATGTAGCTCTATTTTGTATGATCAAGAGATTCACTTTTTCTTGATATAGAAAAATCATTTTTTTACCCCTTTTGACTATTAAGCATTGAATTTGATGATTTTGAGATTACCCTTTTACTGTGTGCCTAAAAAAACTGTTTCTTTTCTTGATATATGCAGTAGTTTTAGCCATGAATCCATGTCTTCCTGAATGGAATATTGAGACTGAACTTCCTGTTCCACATCAAAAGAAGCCTATGGGGTAAATATATATGTGTACTCTTTCTTGATTACATAACCAAAGTATATTAAATTTGTTTTAAAAAAATGATCTTTAGTTTCAACTGGATGGTCTTTTCTGTAGATTTGATCATGAGCTAGTGGAGTTGTTGTGGCGAAACGGGGAGGTAGTATTACATAGCCAAACACATAAAAAGCAGCCAGGCTATGATCCTAATGAATGCAGACAGTTTAACAAACATGATCAACCAATAATAAGAGTTGCTGGAAATCAGACTAATTTGATTCAAGATGATGAAACTGTCGCGTGGCTAAACTGCCCTATCGATGATTCGTTTGACAAAGAATTTTGTTCCCCCTTCTTATCTGATATTTCAACAAATCCTCACCTAGGGGAGGAACCTGATAAGTCAATTAGGCAATCAGAGGACAATAATAAGGTTTTCAAGCTTGATCCTTTAGAGATTAACCATGTTCTTCCGCAATCACATCATTCTGGTTTCAATCCAAATCCAATGCCACCTCCAAGATTTCACAACTTTGGATCAGCACAACAGAAACATCATATAGTAGGGGGGAATCAAAAAGGTGTTAACTTTCCTCCACCGATAAGGTCATCCAATGTGCAGCTTGGTGGCAAAGAAGCTAGAAGCAATCTGATGCTGCAAGATATCAAAGAGGGGTCTGTGATGACAGTTGGTTCAAGCCACTGTGGCAGCAATCAAGTTGATACTAGCCGGTTTTCAAGTAGTGCAAATAGAGGGTTGTCTGCAGCAATGATCACTGATTATACCGGAAAAATCAGTCCACAAAGTGATACAATGGACCGAGACACATTTGAACCAGCTAATACATCTTCGTCTTCAGGAAGATCGGGTAGTAGTTATGCAAGAGCATGCAATCAATCTACAGCGACCATTAGCCAGGGCCACAAGAGGAAGAGTAGAGACGGTGAAGAACCAGAATGCCAGAGTAAAGTAAGTTACAATTTGTCTTCTTAGTCTCTTGGCTCAAAGTAAGTTACATTTATCTGAAGTTCCATAATTTGCTATACAGGCTGATGAGCTAGAATCAGCTGGAGGAAACAAGTCAGCCCAAAAATCTGGAACTGCCCGAAGGAGCCGTGCTGCAGAAGTGCATAATCTCTCTGAAAGGGTAGAAGTTGTTAACCTTCCTTTGCATATTTATAGATTTTATGGCTTTTTTAAGGAAATATACCTTAATCATCAAATGGCTTTCTCTTCGCAGAGACGGAGGGACAGAATCAATGAGAAAATGAAGGCCTTGCAAGAGCTTCTTCCTCACTCTACTAAGGTATGGGGATGAGGAATCTGAGGCTGATTGTACTTTTCATGGACAATATTTGTAGTTTTCATCTGATCATGAAATTGTTAGCATTTGAAAAGTACAAATAGTATCCGGCATAACCTTCATAACACAGAAAGTATACACGATCTTGATTCAATCGGCAATAGTTTCTTGGTTGATGCTAGAAAAGCATTAGTGAACCTTGTGACTGGGATTATTTGGTGCTTGTTTTATACCTACTCAGCTTGCTTTTTCCAGGAATTCCTAATTTTATGTTTCCTGGCTTACTTTTTTCAGACAGACAAAGCATCAATGTTGGATGAGGCTATTGAATACTTGAAGTCACTTCAGATGCAACTGCAGGTATGAACTCATAAAATCATACGGGGTGAGTTAGTGACTGATTTGTCCATGATCCAAATGTTTCTACGTTTATCTTAAGTACAATCACAATGTAAAAATATTCTATACTATCAATGCATTCAAACCTGTTATAGAATGAAGGTTATACATCTCAATAGTTGTGCTTATCTTTAAATGACCTATCTGATAGTATGGTGAATATATAAGTTAAGCACAATGTTCCTTTATGGTGATATTCAGATGATGTGGATGGGAAGTGGCATGGCATCAATGATGTTTCCTGGTGTCCAACACTACATGTCAAGAATGGGAATGGGGATGGGTCCGCCTTCGGTGCCTTCCATGCACAATGCTATGCATTTAGCTAGGCTTCCTTTGGTTGATCCAGCAATCCCTTTGACACAAGCTGCTCCTAATAATCAAGCAGCTGCAATGTGCCAGAATTCAATGTTGAATCAAGTTAACTATCAACGCCATTTGCAGAATCCCAATTTTCCAGATCAATATGCTAGTTACATGGGGTTCCATCCACTTCAAGGCACTTCTCAGGTTTGATCTTCCACCTATATACCATTTGATTTTTTTCTTCAATATATACCTACTTTCATCATCCTATAAATAGCAAAAATTGTTTCCTGAATTCTCTTCTCTTTTTATTTTGTGCTTTCCTTTGCAGCCTATAAACATTTTTGGCTTAGGTTCACATACAGCACAGCGAAGTCAACAGTTACCGCATCCAACTAATAGTAATGCACCCGCCACTTGAAGAGTTATCACTGAGGATACTATCAGTACTGTAAAATTAGGTAAGGGACTTTCTCTTGCTTTACCATTTGCATAAGCTCTGATAATAAGGAGTACCTTTTCTCTGTTGGTGACATTTAATTCCAGTCAGCTCGATTTATGATTGTTCTATTTTCATCGACAAGTACGTAGTGCTTGAGTAGATCAACCTCAGAAAAAAAAAAAAACACTTGATGCACCAAGAGTTTAACATCTGATTTTATAGTACTTATCTTCCATTTTGACAGGACAGTGAAATTATTGCTTCATTTGGCGTAATGTTTATCACCGTACCGGAACATCTTAAGATTTTGGAAGCTAACCGTTCAAAGATGTAAGACACCATCGTATTAATGAACTTCATTGTATGAGACTTCTTCATATAGCAAAGCTATAAGTTTTATTCTATAGGAACACATTAGTAGTTTGCATATGTAACTTACTGTATGTATCTATATGACTAAAGGAATAAGAAAAGAAACCATTTGGTCTTTACATACTGATTTCTTGCTTAATTTTTTGTATATCCTGTGTATCACATCATACATCATATATACATATTTCAATGGAGATCAAGGTTTGCCTGTTTTGTGTGGGCGGATCTAACTTATGAGATACGGGTGCCACGACACCCACACATTTCCATTAAAATTCGCAATATGTAAATATATGTGAAAAGTTAGATATATACGCAATGTGGCACCTAAAGTACACAAATGATGCCATGGTTTAGTGTTGCGTTTGAATTAAGTTTTCTGTTGCTAGAGGTAAGTATATAAAACATGACACCTGCGATTTTCAAATCTTGAATCCGCGTTTAGTTTAGCTTCTTTTTTGTTTTCATCTCAATCATATCTTGTGTTCTTCTTTCTATTCAATGAAAAACTAATCAGCTTTGTTCAAATTTTATTTCCCTCAAATTTACCATATACCCTATATTAAAAATAATAATAAAACAATATCTCACCAATGATTATACAAATAGATAATATTAAAATATTGACAACGGTTCATCTAAAATAAAGAATATTAAAACATACAAAATGGTCCAAGACCCTTTCCCTATTTTAATATAAAAATAATGAAGGGGAATAGTGCAAACAGACAGAAAAGATTGATTTCATTAATTTGCCAATAGTTTTACTTTTACCATATATTATACAAATAAGAATTATTATTATTAAATCAGAAAACGAGCCATCTAAATCACAACTAGCATTTTCCTAGACGTTAGACGAATCAAAAATAAACAAATGCATATCCGTGGTTCGTTGATTGTCTAGTAAATCTCGAGAATCATTAAAAAATGAAAGTTTCACTGAAAAATAACTTTCTTTTGGTGCGTTGAATTTGAAAATGTGCGTTTTTAACGCCGAACTTAATCAACTATAGCCATTCAACTCAAATATCTTCTATTATGACAATATTATTTTTCATTGCAAAAGTTAATGATAGAAAAAATGTGCGTTTTTAACGCCAAACTTAATCAACTATAGCTATTCAACTCAAATATCTTCTATGACAATATTTTTCATTGCAAAAGTTAATGATAGAAACAAATGTATAAGAGATGCTTTGTGTGATATTCCAAAGATATTTTTTCCTAAGTCAAGCAGAAGTGACCACTATTGTCTGAAATTTTAAGATTTTAATCATGTGTTGGTGTCCTAAGTTGTCTCTTATCATCCCATCATAGGGAAACAAGGCAGATATCTGAGATCTTCTTTAATTTTACTCCATTTAACAACCACAACAACAACTATATAACTCTTTGTTTCAATTGGATAATCACTAGTCCTTTCAACATAACTACTTGAAAATGATTGTACTAACATATTATTCGTACTCACATACATCTATTACAACAACTACGCCTCAATTTTGGTCAAGTTAAAGTCAATTATATGAATCCTCACTGTTTGTGTCGCTCTTCTTAAATTTATCTCGGTCCAATATTATAAAAAGGAATAGTTTCTCAAGCACTCTAAGCAGTTGATTACGATCTATACTGATTTTAATAATGTAAAGATTAGCTATCATTATGAGTATTTGAATTGTTGTATTAAATGAATTAATTGGATGTAGTTGAATGAAGTACTAATACTAAATATGATTGAATTAGAATAAGAATAGTATTGGTATACATAGGTTTGCTATGTATATTAATTGTATGAACAGGGGCGGCTCAACGTAACTGGGGCCTAAAAAAATTCATACATATTTATTTAAAAATTATTTTTCTAATTGTTTAGATGCACATTATTACTTCAACTTTTTAATAGATGATTTATTTGAGTACTTTTTAATTTTTTTTAATTAATTTTAGGTAAGATTTTATCAATTCAATGCTGAAAAATATCCTTTTACTAAAGCAATCATTATATGAATTGTTAACATAATTATCTAAGGAATAAGTTGACAAACTTTAAGCAAAATAAGAGTTAGAACCATAGAATCTGATTCAAGACGTTGATAACTTGATATACCTAACTTTGATTGAAAATTTAAGTAAAAAAAAATTGTGATTCACTTTGTTCAACACTGTTCGACTAATTAATGATTCAGATTTATGATAGAGTATTATTTTAACTTATCAAAGATTTGTAGAAAAAGAGTGAAAAAGGAGTTTTAAAATAAATAAATAATGTGAATGTCAGAAATGTAATAAGACAAAACAACGTTTTCTTGATTTCTTCTATTTGAGTGGAGTTAAGGAGAATAAAATTATATATATATATATACTTTTTATTATAAATAATTATTATTTTTATAAAAATAAAAGCACATAATTTGTTCTTGGTAAAAATTTGAGACCTCCCAAAATTGGGGGCCTAAGGCATGCGCCTTAATTTTTCTAAGCAAGAGCCGCCCCTATGTATGAATCGATTAGGGTGTATAACTAATACATTCCAGTCCCAATAAGTTGACAATTAATTTCCAATTAGGTATCCAAACAAATGCATTTCCTTATCAAGGTGCAACTAGCTATAGCTAGATTCATATTGACTAGTGTTGATGCAAGTTGTGCTTCACATGCAACACTACTTTTATAGATATCTAAAGTGAGAAAAATACAAGTTGATAGTAAAAACCATTAATTCAAAGATAGTGGTCATGTGTGGACCAACTACTATATTATGTCTATCTCTTTCTTGATGTTAGAGAGTTGGAAAAGATTGATGCCTCAATAATGGGATCCGCCACTTGTAAAATTGATGCTATATATCTTTGTTTTCTAATGGTCCACAAATTCTCTCTACCAGTTACATTTTACATCTCAAAGTTCATGTCAGGTCATGTTCACAACAATTCCTCTAGCTACTTGGACAAGACTGATCAAGAATGAGAACAAATGGTGGAACTCTAAGATTAGAAAATGACGGTGATGGACAAAATTTCATAGCTAAGTAACAAAAATTTCAAGCTAATACCATTTAGTTATAGATTAGTGATGAATTTTAAGATAATTTAATTAGCTAAGAGTGATGAATTAACTTAAAAATATCGATAAATTTTGTAACTAATTAATCTCTAGTAATTTCTAAAACAAAGATATAGATATGCATCACTCTTTGTTAAGTCTCTTCCTTGTCAATGATTTCCCTCCTTTCCATCCTTAAAAATCTTATTCTATGATTCCCTCGGCCTTTTGGGCTGAGCTAGGAGGCGTACGGGATTTATTTAGATCGTCTTTGCTAAAACTTACAATATATATAGACGCTGAATTTTTTTGATTTTATCATGTGTTTATTGATTTTTTTTATATTTTAAATTTATTAGTGAAATCATGGCTTCGACACTGACTTAGCTTCGATTTAATTGCAAAAGTAGTACAAGTTTGGATGTAACATATGTGCATTCATCTCACGAGTTTGAATCTTATTGTATAAATTGAGTTTAATTTTAAGTAAAAGGATAGAAAGATAATGCTTTATTCACCGATTCTCTTGCGTAGTTGGAATCATCAATTTTCTCGATCATAAGAAAAAAATTGTTCTATAATTATTAAGAGCCATGTGAAATTTACAAAATGTGTAACATACCAATTTTCATGGGTAGTTGGAATCATTAAATTTCTCGATCATGGAGTTTTGGGAGTGTGTGTGTGTTGGGGGGGGGGGGGGGGGGATGATTCTGTAATTATTAAGAGTCATGTGAAATTTACAAAATGTGTAACATACCAATTTTCATGCGTAGTTGGAGTTAGGGGTATTTAAAATTTTGGTATTCAGTTTTTGAAATTATTATATCATCATATCAATTTAATTCAGTATGGTTCAATATTTTGAAGTTTGGTTTTGGTACTTTGCGCTATGGTAAATTGGTAACGATAGTTTGTTCAACTTCTACTAATATATACTCATATAATTGAGTATTACGACTTCGACAATTCAAATAAGGATCTCAATTGTATCATACTAACACATTACACATGTAGAAATAATATATATTCAAAAGAACGTACAAACAACTCCTTTTTGTTAATCAATTACATTCAGTCAAAATAAGTAGTCAAAGTTTTAACTTCTACACATTTAGTTTATTCTAATACTAGATTACATATTTGTTAGTATTTTAATAATATATATATATACTTGGGGATGGTATTCGATATGTTATTTCTAAATACCAAATATCGTACCAAATACCAAAAAAAATAAAAATATAAACCATATACCATATCAAATACCATAAAATCAAAATCACGATATCAAAAATTTCGATAGAATATGATAATTTAGTATATACCATACCATGCTCACTCCTAATTGGAATCACAAATTTTTCTATCATAAAAAAAAATAAAATTTCCTAGTTATTTAGGGCCATGTGAAATTTACAAAATGTGTAACATACCAATTTTCATGCGTACTGGGCAATAATTATTAAGGGCCATGGGAAATTTACAAAATGTGTAACATATATACCCAAATTTCATTTGTAATTGAAATAATTGAATTTCAAAAAATCTGTTATTATTAATAGTCATGTGAAATTTACAAAGTGTGTAACATGAAGAACTATGGGG